GCAGGTGACACAGTGACAACTCCATGCTTGTGCACTTCAATAAGCTAGTTATAAACAAGAGGGATTCTGTTCTAATGTTCCCAGTCTTTGCTACCACACTGGAGAGGATTGGACTAATGAAGATCTCCTCCTGTGAGCTCCATGAGGCATCTGCACTATTCCTTCTGCACTCATTACACTGAGCAGAACATAGACCAGAAAAAAGCATTCTTTGCTGGCTATAAATCATGAGTGACACTAAGGTATTGCTATTAGCAGCAGAAAAATGCCTTCCTCCCCCGACCTCATCCAGCCTTGTATACATACAACACTTTGGCAAAGGGTGCTGGGGTGTCTGAATGGAAAATTAAATAGAGGTTGTGTTGTCTGAAGATAAATTGGTACCTCCCTTGGCGTGAGTGACTTTGTCTTTTTCTGATTTGTCTTTTAACTTACAAAACACTGAGGCTAGAGATAAGGATGTGCTTTAGAACCCTAGCCTTCATCCCCTCCCAGGCCCTCCTGAGCAAATCCCATCTCTGAAATGAGCTCAGACAGAAGATAAATGTTCTGGCAGTAATACGCAATATTATTTTTGGCACTCAAAGAATCTCAAGCTAGATAAGGGAAAACTGAAAGGAATACAAAGCTCTGATTTTTTCAGATGCAACAGTCCAAATTCTGCTCGCCCATATGAACCCAGAATCCTTTCTATTTTTCTGGATTATTGCAGTAATTCCTGATGTTCACCAGAGTAGCTGGTTACAGGGCCTTATTTAAAATCCAGCACATTAAGAGACCCTGCTGAAATCACACAATAACAGAGCTGAAAGACAAAGGCATGCACAGACAGCACCAACTCCCCAGCTCCTGCCCAAAGGCTGATTTGGTTTCGGACCATTTAGCTGTAACGATGATAAGATTAACACCTGATACCAAGGGAAAGGCTGAGCTGTCTGTGACCTCCTTCAGAAGAACAGAATAGAACTCCAGCCCCTCTGGCATATTAGCATATGTTAGAGGAACAGCTTCTTTCCTGGTCTAGTATGTATTTCCCTGCAGAGCCTTTGTGCAAAGCTCAGAGCAGTGTTTCTGCCAATACGTCTGTGGGTATTTTGAATAAAACATGTGCCATTTGACATTGTTTGCCTGGGCTACCATGGATAATGGGAGAGGGCACCTGTTACTGCAGGGCAGAGAGCCACGAGGGGCTGGATCTAGCCTTCCTAGGAACAGGATGCAGCACAGGCAAACACAGGAATGTGTCACGTCTTTGTTTCTGACTGAGCCCTGAATGAAGGACCCAGCTCACCCCGCATTCATCTAAGTGCCAGCTGTATTTATTGCCTTAAGACAAGCAAAACTAAAAAGCCCAAACCTTTGCTCTCTGTGCACGCATTAGCTTGTTACAGACGAGTATGCTTTGGAAATGAAATGGGGAGGGCTTTTCAGAGCAAACTAAGTGTTTTTGAGGCAACGTTTCTAGTGCTCAGAGAGGCTCCTGTGTCCAAAGCACAGCTGTGCCCTGCAAGTTTCCACGTGTTTTGTCAAGTCTGGAAGCTTGATAAGATACTCTCAGTCTTGAGAGCTCTCAGAGCAGCCTGTCATAGGGAACAACAGTTATTGAAGCTGCTGGTTTTAAACTACAAAGTTGCCACATCTCAGCAGTTCTTGTATTTGAGTGGCATGTGAGGAATGGCTGCATGGAATAGCTAGAGGCATCACCACCTGTGGTGTCTACTCCAAGTTAATAATTTACTAGGGGTCATTTGGTAATTAAGAACTGTTCAGTGGTACATTTCATAATACAAGATTTGTATGATATGACCAGAAGGAGTGTCCTAGCATAAGAAAGGGAACTCAGAATCTCTCTCCTAAATGCTGCGAAATATCATCAGGTCAGTTCAGAGAAGCAGCATTTTGAGAAGGATGTCAGGAAGAATCAGGAAGAGCCCTTAGAAGAAACTCATTTGGCCACCAGGAACAAAAAAACTGTCTGTCAGACCAGCTTTAATGAAACACTTGTTCATTTTCATTTCTGTCACTGTGTTTCTAACTGTAATGAAATAACCTATCCCTGTCAGCTGTTGTGGCAGTGACAGAAGTCGCTCATCTCTGCAGAGAAGAGCCCAGCCTGGTGGGCATTCCCTGATGCACCACTGGCAAGGAGCAGGCAGTGGGAAGATGACTCCAAGATTATCTGTAACTACTAAAGGATCTGCCTTTGACACCCATAGACCAGGGTCATACCCTGTCCTGAGCTCTAAAGAGTTCAAAAACTTAAAATGCTGCTGGTCTTTGGTTTCATGAGGCTGATCATGGCAGCAAGGCCATCTTTAGTGGGGTGTAAATATTCAAGGAACCATCATCTCCAACAGATTTCTGTTTCATGGCAACAAATTCATTCCTGTCCTCTATGCAGTCACAAAAATCCATATCATACTATTTATTTGCTCTGATCATCCTTTGGTATGAAGCTTTGCTTCCTTGCTCTCCACCTTCTCTTATTCTGTTTGGCACTGGACACTATGGCCACTCTCCCTCAATAACCATCGTGGTTTTCCACAGGGACATGTATACACAGCTGAGAGCTGGTTTCCTTGCTCAAAGTGGCTGTGGAAGGTTGTAACTTTTTCCAATGGCAAGGAAAAGACAGCAAGCTCACAGGCACATCTATCAGTGAAGCTGCACAAGTGTATTAAACAGAGCAAACAAGAACTTCGCTGCTATACTTCAAGTAAATAGTTTCTCCTTCTCAGTTTGCTCCAGGATAAAAACCCCTCTGCCCTGTAAATGCCACTGCCAGTATTTATTTGTAAAGAGCTTGGATCTGTTTATTTACTTATCCATATTTAGTTTAAAAGTCTGGGCTCAAAATTAAACAGTCATTCATTATGTCATTATCTGCCATGTTCTGCAGTCAGATACTGTGTGTGGTGTCACAGGACAAAACCTTTGGCAAGGGCACTAGAAGAGCAATTTAGCTCCTCATCCATCTTGGCTGGCAGCATGATTGGCTTCCAAGCTTGCACTGCTAAATTTGTTATTTTACTCTGACATTATTGAGTGTTAAATCATTTTCTGAAGTGTTTATTGGTAATAGTTGAATTCTTTCCACCCATTTAAGCTGCTTTTGAAACACAAACATTTCCTTGTATCTTGGAGTTTGATGGAAAGGTGGGGAAAGTTCTTCAGGAGGATGGATTGTAGAAATGACCAGCTCATTAAGTAGGGACAGAATTTACCAGTGCTGTGGAGGAGAATATCCTCCTCCTTCCACCAGGATGAAACAGTAAACTCCCACTTCCACTCCACAGCACTCACACGAGAAAGGTTAACTTGTGTCTTGGTTCTCCCATCAGGAAGCAGATCACCCTTTTACTGGAACATCAATGACTTCCTGACAGGATCTTCGTAGATCCTGAAGCTCCCTGAGAAGAAAGACAGGCTGTGATCTGCAGGATCAGATGCTGAGGAGGTTATTAGTAATCAGTGTACCCACTGTGTTATTAGTAATCTGTGTGGAGTGGGGTCTGCAGCCTCCACTTGGCATTGATGTCTTTCAGGAAGGAACCAGAAACCACTTTCTTGTACCTATTTGGGAAAATGGAGCAGAGGATCAGAGAGCAGAAATAAACAGAGAGATTAAAATCTAGTGTGGCAGTTGGAAGATGAGCTGGAGAACAAGGGCCAGAGGCAGGTCAAGCTTGGGAGGAGGCAGGAGAGAGATTTTCAAATAAACCCTTTGGCAGTTGATCTCTTGAGGATACAGATGTGACAGCCCAGCAGCCTGATCCAGGCTGATGTACTCAGTACTGGAGGTCCTCTTACCTCTTCTCCTTGCTCCAGTGAAGACCCACAAATCAAAGTTTTTCTTTTCTTTTTATTTTTAATGAGCATGTCTGTTGAGTTTCTTTCCTGCATCTGGGAGTTACTTTCCAATCTGATGAACACTGACTTTTAGAGACAACACCAATGACTGGCTGCCGAGATCACAGTAGCAATCAAGGCTCCTTTGATGGCAGAGCTAAAAATACGCTCCCCAGCTGACACAGCCTTCAGGAGGAGAACATATAGTTTGGTTTGAAAGGAAACATCTTCGTCTCCATGTCTTCTTCTGCCAGAGGACACCACATCTGTGGCCACCATGCAAGCAGGTTACATCTGTGTTCTGAACTGCAGCACCCATATACAGACCCATACAACCTCCAGCCTCAGCAAGAGGAAAGCTGTAAACCCTCTGAGTGCCTTGGAGAATGGTGTCGTTGGCAGTTTTGCCTCTCTGGTCATGTTGGCACCTGTCAAGTTATTGCATGGAAGGAGCCACATCTTAGGGCCTGGAACAGATTGCCTTTGCCAATCCCTAAGGTTCAGTTTCAGTCCTCTTGATCAGCTGCCCCATCTCTTTCCTTTCCTATCTGCTTCTCTGCCTGCTCTCCTCCTCGCTAAATCCAGGGCCCCGGCTCACAAGCCCTGGCTAATGAGATATTCCCAAAGCCCTGCTTCAGCATTTGTAAAGGAGACAGTGGTAAGTAGTGCCACTGCCACCTCCTGGGCTTTCTGAGGACTAGAGCTCATCCTGTGAGTTGCAAATGCAGATTCATGCCAATGCTGGGCAAGAGATAGATCATGGATTGCCCAGCTTCAACCTGTGCCAGCCCCCCCCTTCCCAGGCCAGCAGAGTGATCTGTGTTTGCAGATCTCCCTCCCCCTGGAGGCATTAGCTAAAGATGGGTCATTAAGGCTTTTGGGTAGGAGAGGTACAGATGAACAATCACACACAATAACAATTCCACATTTATAACGTGTAATGTGTCAGGGGGTGAAAGGTTGAGCAACCCACTTTGGCAAGAGGAAATAGTGAAAAGGGCGTATTTTTCTGGCTAAATGAAAGCCTTTTCTCCGTGTTATTTTTTTTCATGCGTCGGTGTGCATAACTTGAACGCACAGAAAGGAAAAATTCATTTGTTTGTTCAGGCAGAAGTACACCAGATTTATTGTTCTGAGAGGTACAGGGGGTATTTCTATGTGGTTGTGGTAGGTATAATTGGCAGCACAATATTCTGTCAAAAAAAAAGGCATTCACCCAAGAATGTCTCTGGGCTCAGTCCCGGAGCCTCAGTCCTGGAGGGGGATGACCCATCCCTAAACCTCTGTGGGCAGTGATCCATTGCCAGGAGTCTGTTTGATGCTCCCATTTAGGGTATTGGCTCTGAAGATGTACGACCTCCCTCTAACTGAGCCTTCAGTGTGGAAGCTTTCTGGCTTGTCCTGGCAACGGAAGAACATCAGGAAGCCATTCCGGTAGTTCTTGTTCATCCATCCATAGAGCAGGGGGTTGACAAATGTAGAGCACATGGCCCCAACATGGAAGACAGTGTACAGGAGTTTGTACTCGTGGAAGATAAGAACCAGATCAAGATCAATGGCAAGCTGGAATATGTGGAAGGGGAGCCAGCAGACTGCAAATACCACAACTACCATCACTAGCATTTTGGTGGTCTTCCTCCTCCGGCACTGGTTTTCATTCCTAGAAGTGGGACTGACATGGTTTTTCAGCTTGAACCAGATCCTGGTGTAGGCATAACAAATAATTGCAAGAGGAAGAACATACTGCAGGAGGAGCATGGACAGACTGTAGATGGTGGCATCTCTGTTGTTACCAGAGGGCCATTTCTCTGAGCAGACAGCCATCTTGAGGTTGATGGAGGGGATTTCCTCATATCGGTACTCTCTGAAGATGGCCAGAGGGCCTGCCAGGACAGCTGCTGCCAGCCACATGACAGCTATGATGGTGAAGCTGAGCCTCTTGGAAATCCTGCTGTCCAGGTGGAACACGATACACCGATACCTGTCCAGGGCAATCACAGTTAGGGTGAGAGTGGACACGTGGACACTCAGAGCTTGAGCATAAGGGACCAGGTGACAAAGAACAGCTCCAAACTTCCACTCGTCCAGCAGGGTGTACACCAGGGTGAAGGGCAGACAGAGTGTGTCCACCATCAGGTCTGCCAGGGCCAGGTTAGCTATGAAGAAGTTGGTGACAGTCCTCATGGTCTTGTACTTGACTATGATGTAGATGACCAGGGAGTTGCCGATGAACCCCAGCAGAATGATGAGGGAGTAGGCAGCAATCAGGACAACCTGGACCCCCAGGATCTTGGTGCTGTCCATCATAACACTGCGGGACCCAGAGAGATCCTGGGTAGGAGTGACAAAGTCCTTGTCATGCCAGCCCTCTGGCAGCTTCTCATCTAATGCTGTCTTCTCCAAGGTGAAAGTGCTGTTGGCTCCCTCAAATGGTCCCATGCCTGGCCTGAGACTTTTCATCAGGAGGAGAAGGAGGTCTGGAACACAAACACAGCAGAATTGAGAGCATGGGAGATAGGAGAGAATCTGCAAGAACTGAGGCTCAAAGGGCGTGTCCCACATGGCATTTTGGGCTAAACAGCAGCAGCAGTGGCATCCTCCCTCCTTCTCCCTTCACACTGAATGGGCCCCTCACTTCTCTTACACCTCCTGTTAGAGTCTATGATCAGCTGAATGCCAGTTCCCCAAGGAAAAGTCAGCAAAAAATGCAACTTTTCACACAAGTTTCTGAGATTCTGTTTGTTTGAATTGGACAGGGAAAAAACCCTCAACCAGCCAGAGCCAAACTGGAAGGTCCTGAGAGGATTGCCTGCGTGGAGCCTCTTTGCACACTGCCTTTTCTGTTCTTCAAGCCAGGCTTTGCAAAACAGGCCAAACATTTGGAACCTCTTGGGGCTGATAGAAAAACTTAATGATGGTGTCACTCATCTTTGGTGAGATTTACTTGCCAAAAAAAAATGCCCTGAGTTCTAACTCCTTAAGAACTAAGGAAGGAGAAAAACAACAAGATGCTCTCAAATTCAAGATGTTCTTCTCCATCTCCCCATAACAATTTGTTTCCAGATTGTGCACCAGTTTTTTTCAGTCTCTTATTTCTCATCTCTCAAGGTGAAAATATCTGTTTCCCTGTCTCTGCATGAGTCTCTGCCACTGCTCCTGATAGTAATGCTGCCACCCAATCAACCCAGTACTGCCTGCTCTCCTGATAATATGGGTAGCATAGCTAACACCATTTTATCAGCCTCCCTCTGCGACCAAAGGTGTCACATACTCATTCTCTGACCCTCATTATCAGGCTCTCAAGGTCCTGTGAACCAAGTAGACACACCAGTTTTCTTTTTCCTTCCCCTGCCAATCTCAAGGTTCCTGAGCACCAGGCAATTATTCCCTTCTTTGCTGACCTTGAAGGTCACAGGCACCCGGCCAGGCAGGTGGTGTTGATGTCCCCATCACAGAACAGGGAAGTGTGAGAGCACACAGAGCACAGTTACAAGGCCTAAGTAGGGAACTACTGGACAGTGAGACCCATGAACCCTGTGGCCAAGGACACCTCCACTGTCCTCTGCTTCTTTCGAGGATTCAGTGAGTGACTCATTTCTTTTATAGGATTTTTGAGTCTAGATTGATACAACAGGCCATGTACTAGGATTTGGCCCAATCTGAAGAGGGTCCAGGTGATTATAAATAATAAGTTGTATTATAAATTCTGTATTACTTAGGCGATTAGAAATCATAAGTTAAGTTGTTTATAAATTCTGTATTTTGCTACTTATAGACTGTACTATGCTGATTCTGCTTGTAGAAATCTTGTGCTGCTCCAATCATGAATTCTATTCTATACTAATCCTAATAGCCTGATAAGGAAATAAAGCTTTAGTTGTAACCACAATTTAGTGCCATCAGCACTGTGCCAAAGATCCCTAAAAGAACCTCTCTGTCCCCTCGTTGTTGGTCACACCCAGGCATCTGCTGGCTTTTAAGAGGAGGGAGCTTCTGCGAGGACGTGCACGTGCAGGGCACAAACCACTGAAGCTGTGAACAAGCCTCCAGTGGAGCTGGTGCTGAGCATCCAGGCACAGATAGGCCCGAGACCCAGAGCCCCAACATCCATCATCATCCTGGTGCTCAAATGCCTGCATGAGATGGCTTTGGGAGCAGGAGCCTGAGAGCCAGAACTGACTCTGCCTGGAACCCCTGGCTGGCGTTCGGTGCCATTGGAACAGCAGAATGTTGTCACGGCTGGGTTTCCATCGAATCCAAACACAGCAGGAGAAAAGCCAGCTTTGTTACTGGCTCCTCCTCAGCCTCTGTGGCTCAGAGCTGCTGCCGGGATATGTGGAGGGGGTGGAAATGGCCCCTCACATATCCTTTGTCCCTAGCACTGTGAGTGGGGCCCCCGTTCCCACTGCAGACTTGAACAAAAGTGAGCAAAAGTCATCACTCTGCCCAAAACAGGGAGGTTTGCAGAGCATCATGTGTTTGCAGAGAGGGAAGAAAATGCCCTTCCACTAAGGGAGGAAGGCAAAGAGCTTAAATCAAGTGGGAATTGGAGGCAGACTGCTCGATACCTTCTCAGCCTCCTTGAGGAAGAACTGGTCTGGGTTTGTACCAGGAGGGGCAGGAGCACTGCTGACTGGGTGCTGGTGGCCTTCCCGCAAGTCTTGTGCCCTGCAAGCCAAAATTTTAAGGACAGCCTGTCCTTGGGAAGGGAGAACACTTTCCGTGCAGAACACCTGCATTTCAGCTGGTTACTTAAACAAATTGCTTAAAATAATGGTGTTGAGGTACTGGGGGTGACAGCAATTACATTGCAATAAAAAATAAATGGCTGCTCGTTCTGTCTTTGCTCCTCAGAGCATGGGTTGTGCTTCCCCCTCAGGACCTGCTTCCAGAAATCTGCCCAGCCAGTTGCAAAGCTGAGACCCTGCAGAGGCCCAGAAGAAGAGCTGCCTGCAGTAAAACCACTCCTGCTTGCACCCTTTCTCCTGCCCCCCTCAGTGTCTGATTGCTTACCTAACATCTCACTCTGCAGACCAATTTATGTCAGTGGTTCCTCTAAATGAGGTTGTTGGGCTCAGATACCACAAGACTGGAGACCACTAGGGAAGTAGAAAGCTGGGGGGGGAAATGGGTGGATCTTCTGGGGTGAGGGTTTGCTTAAAGGGTGACCTCAGACCTCCACAACATCACTGCAACAACCCTGGAAAGGGAACCCTAAAGACCAAAGAGAGGTCCCGACTTCTAAGAAGGGACTGAGGAGTTCAGAGCCATGCCATGCAGTGGATGCAGTGGAAAGGGGGGCCAGGGAACAGGCTGGGAAGGTGGCACAGCCACAGCCTTTTCCTCAGAGCCTAACCCCCAGCAGCAGCAGCCCTCAGCCACCTGTGCTGCAGCTGAGCAGAGCAAACCCTACTGCCAGGAGAGCAAAATCGGGGAAGGAAACAGAGCAAGTGCTGGGCACACTTTCAGTGGCTGTGCTTTCCCTGCTTGCTCTCTGTCTGGGTTTTATACCTTCCAGATTGCCCAGCATTACTTTATCGCTTGTTATCCCCTTTTCTGTGGCTTGCCCATCCCATTTGTCTTCAGTACCCAAGTCCTGGCACAACACAGTGGGCACTCCCTTCCTTTTTTTCCCATCTCACCCACCACTGCCTATTTCCTTTCACTGGAGACTGGCAGCTACACACCATCTGAGAGGAGCCAGGAACATCATGACTATTGGAGCTGTTTTGCTTCCTAACAAAATGGCCTTAATGGAGTTACTATTTGATTTGGTTTGTTTTGTTTGTTGTTTTTTTTTCCAAAGGGGAACTATTGCAAATCAATTAAGACATTTTAATTAAGAGACAAAATGGTCATAATAAACGTTCCCACTCCAGGGGCTGCCTGGAGGTCGCTGGGATGCTGCTAGGACTGGACTGAGGTCTGTTCCAGCAAGTAATGGAAGTCCTGGCATATGTGTAGGCTGCTGTCAGGCACACACTCCCCTGCCTAACAGGCCTGCCAGGCTAGATGGAAAAATCCTTGGAGCTGAGAGCCAACTACTTTTGGGACAACAAAGCAGCAGGACAGACCATGAGGAGGCAGAAATACTACCCTAAGCCCTTTCCTCTGTGCTGAGCTGCCATGAAGGGATGCAGAAACAGGGCGCTGCCTGTATCAGGATAACCATAATCCTCACCCTGTCCTCCAGCTGAGGTTCAGCCTGAGACAGGACTGAGGCTCCAGGATGGCTCCCAATGAGGCAGGGGGCTGTGCCAGCAGGCTTCAGCATTTGGGAAGGGGAGAAGCACAGAGGAGCCATTCACTCAGCACTCTGCTGTCAATGACTGAGAGGGACAGTGACCAGTGTGACAGGTCCAAAATCCATTCCTACAGGGGGCCTACAGTAGGTGCCCTGGGACTCATGCACTTCTGCTTCCTGGGATGCCCCAGCTCCCTCCATGTCCCTGCTGCAGCCCCAGGCACACAGCCAGCCTGGTGCAGGTCCATCAGGGCACATCCAGGCCTGGAAGAGCCACTTTCAAAGCCTGGCACGGTTCAGAAAGCAGGGCTGGAGGGGTGGGCAGAGGGCTGGAGAAAACACAGCTTGTTAATTAGACTTTCTCTTTTTGTCCAAATAGCAAGACTGATTGGTTTGATTTGAAAGGAGGTAGTGGAGGGACTTGGGCCAGCCTCTGCTCGCTGGCTAATGACAGCTACAACCTTCTTCTACAGCAGAGCTGGAGTGTGTGAGGGCTGAGGCTGGTGGATACTTCTATCACTTGGCTCACTGGTTTCTTCCATGCTGTGTCCTTCCTCCAAAGCGGCTCAACTTCATGAAATCCCTTCACCTCCACCATCCCAGCCAGGAGCACTGACTCATCTCATCCCCAGACCCATATTCAGACAGGTGTCCCTGGCAAGGAGGTCTGAGACCATCCCTCACCACAAGAACCTGGTAGTCACCCTAGGACAAGCCACCTTCTACCACCTTCACATTCCCCTCCAGCATTTGAGAGGCAGCAAAGTTCAGCCCTGCACCCCACAGCACTTAAGGGAAGAGAACACAACAAACTGAGATATGGAGGTTAACCAGCCTGCCAGAGACCACACAGCACATCCACGATAGGGCTGGGAACAGAGCCCAAGTTTTCTAACTCCAACCTCCTGCATTTACCACCAGAGAAGACTCTGCATCTCTCAGCATAAAACCTGAGCAGAGATTTCAGGAACTATGTAAAAATGGAATATGTGACTGAGGAAGGGGAGTGGGTTTTGCCTTCTCTGTGTGGGCAGGTTTCAGGACAAACAGCAGCTCTGGGATGATTTCCTGTAGCCAAAGAGAAATCGTCCCAGATCCTTCCATCTCCAGTAAAGGGGTGATTGTCCTGTTATGACACTATGGCAGAAGGCAAGACCCTCTGATCTGCCCATCCTCTCTTCCAGCTTTGCAAATTATCTATCCAGCTCAGGCCCACTGGCACAGAAACCTCATGGCATCAGACACTGATTGCCACCCAGAACTGCTCCCGGAGAGTCCCTGCATAGAACTGGCACTGGGAGACAAAGTGCAAGGAGGAGGAGAAGCACCAGGGATTTCTTGTGGTTCCTCACACTAAATATTTTCGCATCCCTGCCTAGGCTGGAGCCATGGAAGACTCTGAAGGAGACGAGGCAAAGACCCAGCTCAGGACAGGATGAAAAAGAAGGGGGTGAGAAGAGATCTGTTTGGCAGGGATGCATGCTTTCTCATGGGAATTTGTCCTACAGAAAGCAGGGGGGAACAGTGCAGGGCCCTCTGCCCTGTGGGACGTGCCACAGGAGCAGAACAAGGCTGGCTGGGAAACAAGGCTCAGCAGGTGACACTGTGATGGAGACACACTGGTTGTTGTGGATGCAGAAAGGCAGAGACACCTTGGTGGATGGATCCTGGTTAACCTGGGGAGCCTGTTAACTCCTGAAATTTGGATGAGACAAGGGAGCAGAGGGAAATAACATCTCATTAACACAGAGAAAACCCAGTATCCTGCTTTGGGACAGACCAGAAACTCTGTAGGTGAAATGCAGCTGCAATGGGACTATAAGAGGATTTCTCTGTTCAACAATTAACATCAATGAGTGCGAAGAGAAAGCATGCACCGATTTTCCTCCTGCAGTCCCCCTATCTCCCTTTGCATCTCTCTCTCTGAGGGCACTGATCTGTGGCAGCACTGAGTGCCAGCAGTGTGTGCAGTCCCAGCACAGAGCAGCTACAGGAGGTTTGTACCAAGCCACGAGGAGGCAAATTGCGGGAGAGATCAGGATTTCTCAGACAGCCACACACTCAGCCCCACACCTGCAGTGCACTGCTCCGAAGCTGTACGTGCCTGGGTTCTGCAGCCCCCTGGAGCAACCTGCTCTCCTGACTGTTCTCACTCAGCATCCTGCTTCCCAGGTTCCCTGCTTCTGCTCGCAGACCTTTCGAAGCTCTCCTGCCAGTATTTCTTGTTCACTTTCTCTATTCCAGCTCTCAGGGCTGTCAGTCCCCAAATCCACTTTCCCAAAGATGCTCGGAGCTTTTTTTGCCTGAACCATGTGGCATGGCCAAGTCCTGGCCCCATCTCAGCCCTGCTGCTCAGATAAACCCTCCCCGACCTACCTGCAAAGGCCAGAGTGTCCTCCTCCTTCAGGAACTGAGCTGCTCACCACCAGTTACTGTCTCATCACTGGCCAGGACGGAGCACTTGGTCCTCTCCACTCTCTGGAAGTCAACCTGTGGCAAAGAGGTGAAAGGCACTTTTCTGCAACTGTCCTCGGAGAAGCGTGGAAGTCAGGAGAGGATCTGGGTTGCCAGAGGGTGCTTCATTGCCAGGGGTTGCTTTGGAACCCCACCATGGGCATCTGGAGAGCCCCCTCTCGCAGGGTGACTGACAGCCCCTGTCTCACAAAGCTGGATGCTGTGTTCGCTCCTGAAGGAGAGAAAGGCAGAGAGCGTGTGTTTAACAAACACGAATGGAAAGGGGGAGGGAGCCTGCTGCTGCTGTTTATACAGTGTTCAGCCACTGAGGGGCTTCTTGCATCGAGCAGAGAGAAGCTTTTCCACCACATCCAGTTTCCTCTCTAGGGAGAAGTGGTGGGAGCTGGAGATCTGCAGGCTCCTCGTCCACGCCACTGACCTGGGCAAGTGTTCATCCGCCCTCACTCCGTAGCTGTCCCATCTCCTCAGAC